CAAGGCTGCTGCCTAAGAAAAATTTTAGGGAGCCCTTCGGGCTCCTAAAGTTTAAAGTTAGGAGCCCGAGCCACATTGTTAGGAGCCCAGTTTGAAATCCATGTATTGTTTTTCCAAGATCATTACATAGGTTATAGAGGTTCTTGCACACTTTAATAAGAATTCGCCGGGCCTAATAAATAACACGTAAACAAGAATTAACCGAATTATTTACTTTCATTTATTAATTTATTCAATTAACTTCCACATCTGTTGTGTTCAATGTGACCTAGAAGAGCCTTCAAAGAATTTTCTAAAATGTAACAATTAAACTGCTTCTTACCTTTCTTATACACATTCATGAGCCGGAAAAATATTTGAGGGGCTTAATTTGCGTGTAAAAGGAATTTTCACAATTTTCACAATAAAAGAATAACATAACAGTAGGTAATTTCAACTCAGAATTATTTACTTGACTTTCACATTTGTTCAGTAACAGTTGTGTTCCACATGACAACTTAACTAGTCTTCCAAAAACTTTCTAAAGTAGAACAATCCTCTCCTTGCCTTTTTTATACATGAACAGGAAAAACAGAACAGAACATCAAGTGCCTTATGTAAACCTTAGCCTGGATGGATCTCATTAAATGAAGTGCTAAACATTTGAGGAATCATTTAAATTGAATAACATTTTCCTATCTGATTCTGTGCTATAAAAGAATTTTATGTCAATGTAACTACATTGTAAATTCAAAAGATCATTTTTTTAAGTCTTATAAGTTCTCCAAAACAGCTCGGAGTTGTCCAAAACAGCTCCATTTTAGAAGAGCTTAATTAGCCCCTCAAATAGTACTGTATTTTACTCAAGGAAAAACTCCCAATTTTGGGTCCAAAACAGATCCTTTGAATTCACAGTGTAGTTTACAATTAAATCACAGCATTGAGCAATGTTCATCAGTCTTTTGGTTTTGTCCCCTTAAGAGAACTCCAGGTTCTAGCCTCTGGATGTTTGTCCACCCAGTTCTCTCGTCGGGCTCTGACACTGTTTTCTCGCCAATGCTTGACTGCATTGGCAAGGTGCCCAGATTGAGCGAAGGCCTTGACTCTCTCTGATTTGTTCAGGCTGTGGTACTTAACTGAGATACGCAAGTTGTTGTCCAGTGTCCTAGTTGCAAGACTTGAACGCTGAATAGTTTTAGTGCGGTTCATGGAGCTGAAACCTCGCTCACAAGCTGCGGTGGACAAAGGCCAGGTGAACACAATCTCGGCAATCAAAAGGAAGTTAGGAAATTCTTCTTGTTTAGAAAACAACACAGAGTAAATGTCAGGTGTTGTCTTGTGCTTCATTAGACTCACAAGGCTCTTAACTCCCTGCCACTCACTACTGACAGACTCAGCTTTAAAACCAGCTTTTTGCAACTGCTCTTGGTACCTGTTAGCGATTACACAGAGCTGATCACAACCATAAGATGCTAACTCTTCAGGATCTGTAGGCCACGTGTCTGGATCTAAAACTGAAGAAGCCTTTACAACTGGGTCGTTAAAGAGGTAATGGAATCGCTCCCCCATGCTCTGTCCAATTTCATCCAAAACAGACTTTCTGATCTTCTCAAATTGTTCAATATCATTGTCTTCCCTTTTGATCTCAATTTCTCTGAACACACTGCCATCCCCTGCTTCTTTCAAAAACGCCTCAAGTCTTGGACCATTTAACGACTTCATATTAAGACACTGTAATTCAAATTTTCGAACTGCTGCCGCTGCGGTTGTAACTGTAAGAAACTCAGCTTGAAAAACCTTACTTAAATGAGCTGCTTCCTCCGCAATGTCCCACAGAAAACTGGTAAAGAGCAACCCTCTGAATGAGGTTAAGAACTTGACCGAAAATGATGCTCGCCCCTGTCTACCACTTGATCCTACACGCATCTCTCTTGTGTTCTGGCAATGCATCATGAGAGTTTTATATCCCCGAAACAGTACCTGGAGTGCGGTTTGAAGATGTGGCAACCATCTAGCTCCAAACACATTAGTAGGCTTAGAGATCTGGTTATCTAGTGCTTCAGCTAACTCTCTTAATTCCCTGAGGGCCTTGGCGCTGTAGTGATATTCCTGGTATAAACTGCGAAGGACATCACGTACTTTCACAAAATCTGGGTATTTTTCTAGGCACTTGACAACTGCCAATTCAAGCTTGTGTGCTCCGCACCAGAATCCCATAAATTCTCTATTTTCTTGCCTCAATAAACCAACCACTCCGTTCTTCTCACCTGTCATTGCCGCACAGCCATCAGTTCCCAGGCCTGTAATTTTCTCCTTCCAGGTGACTGAATTCATGTTGGTTACTCTTTGGAAACAGGAATCAACCGCATCTAAATAACCTCTTCCAGTTCCAGCCTTAGGTTCTTCGATTCCAAGATATGCAGTGACCGGTCTTCCAACTGACTTTTCCAAGTAGCGCACATACATAATGGCTTCCTCAATGACACCATGATCTGTACTTCCATCAATCATTAGGGAGAAAAAGTTACATTCCTTCAATTTGTCTGCGAGATCCTCCTTCATAACAGAGCTTATGTGCTCAATGAATTCAGTACATGCAGATCGTGTTAAGTAAGTTTCACCCAGCTCCACCCCATTTAACTTTTGAAGCGCACAGAGACTTTCATAGTCATCTAATGGCCGTTCTAATGCTGAAATGTAGAAGGCTGTTTTAAATTTCTTCTCCATTTTTTCGTCTTCTTTTTCGTATAACTGCTTACAGCACTTGTACATTTCAGTTTTTTTCGGATCATTTATGGCTTTGTCCGCAGCAATACATTTTTTATGGTTCTGGCTTGTTTCATGTTTTTTTAATGTTTCGTTTTTGAAGTTGCTTGACCCACTTCTCTTAGCTATTTCACTGTCCTTTGATGCTAAAGAAGGGTGCTTCGAGCAAACACCACAGTACATTGATTTCACTGCTGTTCCAACAGGTTGTGAATTTGGGTAGGGTGTGTTAGTAATGAATGGCTGCATTGTGCCTTTTCTTACAAGGTTTATACGCAACCAAGAATGGGCTTGAAGCCACTTCCACTGAAATGACCTTGTCCGTTTTTGTTCATATTCCTTACGTTTGTCCATAGCATTAGCGTGATTTTCCCTTGTCCTATCCGATTCATCCTTTCCATCTTCTTCTATCTTCCTATTCACCTCAATCTTCCTTTTATCATCCATCGTCATTGCACTCTTTACCTTTCTTTCACCCTCCATGTTCTTTTCTGCAGCCATTTTTCTTGCATCCATCTTCCCCTGATCATCCTTCATTTTCCTCTCATCCTCCATTTTTCTCTCACCTTCCATATCTGTTTCGTCCTGCATCTTAAATTCATCTGTCATCTTCGTTTCATCCTGCATCTTCAATTCCTTTTCCATCTTCATGTCATCCTGAATCTTTAATTCTTCCTCCACCAGCATTTTTTCCTTCATCTTTATTTTGTCCTCTGTCTTCTTTTCTGTCTTCCCATCATCCCCCATTTTCATTCTTTTATTGTTTATGCCTGCTTCATTTCTCTTTTTCTTTTTACATTCTGTTGGAAACCAAAAGTCTTCCAAACTAAACGACCTTTTCGGGGGGGATGCTTTTTTAGTGGACTGGTCAGCAACTTTGCGGTAGTCTTTAGCAGTTTTGACTGCATGATCGCCATATTCCTTTTTAAAAAGGGGGACAAAGTGGTTAGGAACATAAATAGCATTTGGGCGGCTGTCTAATCCACCATCCCTTGACCACAGAATATGAAAGCAATCATTATTGGAAAACACGTCTGGCCTGTTAATACGTGGTTTCACTAAGCCATGTAAGAGGGGGCGAATAGCTTCTGCACAACTTGGATAGATTGTAAAGACAGGCCTGGAAATCACTGTGGAAAGTGCCATGATGTGCATCAGCGACGACCATTCACCTAGCTGACATCCCCCAATTGCCTCACTCTGGATAGCAGACTCACGGTTGCCACTGTGCTCCCACTCTGCTATTCCATTTTCTTTCAGTGCGAGCGTGAAAACGGTGACTTCTCCAAAGGGACACCCACATTGAAGAGCTTCCCGGAATCGCGGATGGTTTCCATAGTAGGCAGTATTTTCAAACAGCTCAATGGCTGTCAGAATACGAAGACAAGTAGAGTATTCTGTTGTACCCACAAGGGCCAGAGAAATGGCGTGGTACAGGCAATTTCCATCCCCAGCGACTTCATGAGCAATAAGGCCAGTTGGTGCATCACACGGAATAAGGGACTGTGCCAGTTGGTCTTGTTTTAGCTTATCAGATCTCGGGAAGGACTGGTTAAGGTTTAATTTTCGCGAATATTTGTCCCTTAACTTGCAACACAAATCTTGGTTATTGCTAATCAGGGCTTCTTTCAAAGTTTTTAAGTCAGCAACCTGAAATATAAAGAAAACCGGCCCACTCTGTGAACTGTTCAAAACTTGTTATATTTTATTGAGGACCTTGGCCTCAATGAGGCTAGACCAGTTATACACAGTGTAGCGTTACTATAAAGATATCAAGTGGCATTTCATTTTAAAATATCTTATATCTGTCACTAAAGGAATAAAGATTCCCGCGGCCAAACCCCGAAAGATTTTGTATTTGTAAGCGAATAAAAATATAGCCCAATTACAAGTCAGTATCAGAAGAAAACAATTGATAACCGAAGTACCGTATTTATTCACTTATAAGACGCACCTTTGTTTACGAAAATTTGTGCTTGCTCGATAAAAATTTTCTCAAAACTCGGGGTGCGTCTTATAACCGAGTATTTTCCCGCAACAAAATTTAACTTTGCCAAATTTCCATATAATTAATGTTCAACTAAGATGAGAATGAATAAACAAGACATTCATCGTTGCATGGTCATCTTGAAGGTAAATTCCTGGTTTGGTTATGGAAAAGAGAGATTCTCCATCTGAGCCGTCAGAACTGGTTACCTAGCACGTGATCAAAATCTGCCCCGATCAAATTTCCTTCCACGACAAAAATAGCCGTGTCACGAAAATGATATTTGTTACATTTCAAGCGCTACTGTCTTAAACTTTCTGCACTTTTCTGTGAGCATGTTCCAGAACCAAACTCAACATCAGTGTATCGAAGCTGTAGAAACTGTACGCGAAAAGAAGCCGTTTTTATTATAAGTGAAATATCAAGCTTACAGTATCTTTGATCTCAAAACAAACGCGGTTCAAATTTCATTAGTCAAAGAAAATTTGCATGAATTTGCGAGGCAATCACAGACAGCTACCTAGCTGATCTGCTATTTCGTTTAGAAGGTCAAGAATGTCAAGTTGTCACTACGGATTAAATAAAACCGCATTGAATATAGGTCAAATGAAGGCACAGCATCTTCGGTTGTGTTTTAAAAGCGGGAAATATATTTTATTGTTTTGAAAGAGACAGTTTCCAAATCGTTATCTATATTAATATAAATGTTCACATACGGAGTCGTAAGAAATAAACATTGCTTACCTGTTGCGAGAATTCCATTGTAGTCACTGGGCTTAAGACAAATTGCTGAAACCTTTGTCGATTTTAGCGAGAAAAGAAGAACCTTTGCCGATTTTAGCGGGAAAAGCAGAACCTTTGCCGATTTTAGCGGGAAAGGGCGCTAAGCACGTGCAGCAAGGCAGAAATACAACCAACACAAAGTTGATCATTACTTTAATTTCTTTATTCAAGGTAAAGACATCACATTACAAATATGAAATATCATACTGCGTTCTCTGGCGTGTTGTTTTTTAAAGTCTCTTGAAAATGCTGATACGTTGCAAACTGGTACATGAAATCGAACATCAAGCACGTCCAGTCGATAGCACGCAAGATAGCTTCCCATTCTCGCCACAAAAAAGTTATCAAATCGACGAAAACCCAAGCAAACGATGAACTGCACGAATGTCAACATAGGCAACAAACAGCCCATAATTTTGCTATTCCATATTTGGAAGTCAAATCTCAGACCCAGTCTTCAACTGCCATCCGGACTCGGAAACGATGGCTTCGTTCGTTTCGACAAAGCTTCACAGTTGAACACGTTAGGTTTACATAATTTACGGTTTATTTGTGGAAATTTTATACTGCCTAATCGCATCATCGCTAACCATATCAACAGTTCCACTGTTTAAAGTCCTACTCCAGCTAAAGGAATATAATGTACAAGGAGGTTAAGTCTAATGCCGTGTGTTAAGTCAGGCGCCCGCGCGGGCTCCTTGTACCGAAATTTGGTCGCCCATGCTCTTACCTTGGGCGCCTCTGGCGACCGGGCGCCCGTTAGGCAGCAGCCTTGGAGTGACTAGAGTGACTAATGACATTTTACACATAATGACAAAAGACAAACAATACTGAGGATTTGTTAATGTTAATTTCAATTTGTCTGAGTTTCAGTTATCTCTTCAAGTCCCAAAAGTGACAAACATCAATTTTCTTCATACAATATCAGTACACAATCAAGAGAAAAGGTTGTGAGAATTTGAGAAATAATGAAATACAGTCGACTTCCAATAACTCGAACCTTCAAGGGAAATCGAAAAAAGTTTGAGTTATCGGGAGTTCGAGTTATTGGGAGCTCGAAGAAAAAAGCCAGGAGTAAGGAAAAGAGCAGTTTTCACTGGACAGTGAACTTTTAATCACATTTAATTTGTAGAAATGTCAAGTGAAAACTAAAATATACTTCTAGAGTACATTATAAATCAGAACCTAATGTAACAAAACATAGCCTAAATAGAGAGTGCGTTTTACTGTTTTGAGAAGTAATGCTTTTTCAGGTTAGATTTGTGACAAACAATATCAATTCAAAATTCAATGTTTCGGACGCCAGTAGAGTGTTTTTCACAACTTTTAAAGCGCTCAAAACATGGTTCAAGTTATCAAGGATCAAATTATATACAAATGATCTGAGGGGAAACAAAAAACTACTTCGAGTTAGCAGGAGGGTCGAGTTATGATGGTTCGAGTTACAGAGGGTAAAATTACGGTAAATGTATGACCGAAATCCAAGGGACATCTATTTCGGTTTGAGTTAGACCGAGGTTCGAGTTATCGGGAGTCACCTGTTATCACATAAGAGAAAATGCTTTGATCTTCTACCAAATTCCCTGCACTTATTCTTTATGAAAATGTATAGAGATAAGTGATATTTTGCAATGAATTTTCATTGGAATAAACTTGTTTACCTTATCGTCTTGATGAACAATTCCAAACAAAAAAGGTGACAGCAAATAAACTTTCATAACATGGATGTGCTTTTCTTTGTCATCCTTCTTCAATTTATACCATATGTCCGCACACTCAGCTGAAGAAACAATTTCAACAAAGAACATTAGCACAGAATGTGATCAAAGAACTACACAACATGACAGAACTACTAGAATCATCTGTCATACAAGGCTCAGGTTCTTTGGAGAATCGACCTTACTGTTAACATCTTTGGCTGAAGTCTCCTCTCTTCTGTCTTTCACTTTTGGGTTAAAATAAACTATTAATAGTCCAGCACTATTCAGCAGCAGGAAAAATTGGCACATTATTCTAATAATAATAGTAAAATTATTCTAATAATAATAGTAAAATTGGCACATTATTCTAGAAAATGAAATCACTGCAATTGTTTTGTTTTTCTACACAGATGAAATTTTCCCAAACATTTCTGGTTAGCGTCACTGGCTATTTTAAATTTAGTATCTCATAGTGAGCAGATTCCATTTTTCTGGGCACGCTGTGGTTCAGTTTTATCATTGGCTCCATATTTTTT